GCCCGCTCGCTGCCTTCCTCCGCCCCTGAGGGCGCCTGCGCATCCATCCTGGCCCTCGGATACCCCTCCGGGTGCCCTGACTGCGCAGCCCGCTCCGGCACGGCCTCTTCCGAGATGCCCTGTGGACGGGACGTTCCAGCGGCATGAGGGGCCGGGAGCGGCAGCACGCACGGACAGCGCCGGCGGCCCCGGCCCAGCGCCCGCTCTCGCCACCCCCGTCAGGGCAGGACCCCACGGGAAGCCCCCTCGCGCACCCCTCTGCTCCCCGGCACCTCCTCGGCATCTCTCCTTCCTACACGGGTTTCTAACCGTTTGGATGACAGGACAATAAAGCTGGGCAGCGCGTGCGTGGCGCCATGTGCACGGAGCGAGGACTGGCTCCGGGTGCAGGGCSCGCCGGAGGGCTCCTCACCAAGGCCCGGGGCTGGGACAGGGTGTCCAAGCCACAGCACGTGGGGAAGTAACTCACCCCCCGGCAGCTGCGGGGTACGGGAGGAACTGGCCCTCCAAGGGGTGTCCCCCTCGCGCCCTGCACCCCTTGGGKGCTCAAAGGAGACTCCGGGCTCGCATGAGGAGAGAAGTCACTTTAATGACACCCTGCAGCTCGGGGACAAAGAGCTCTGGGCCGAGGTACGTCTCCACGCAGCCKCAGCGCTGCGTGGGTGACAGCAGGGCTCGGTGTCCCCACGAGGGACGTCCATCCCCATGCGCTCGCCCAGGAGCTACTCGCGGCGCTGCTGGTGCCCACGCGGTGCCCACAGGGCTCAGTCCAGCGTCACCCTGCCCAAATGCCCGGCCCGGAAAGCCCGTATGAACTCGTAGGCAGCAGCCGAGTAGTCCAGCGTGGTCACATTGACGTTCCCTATGGGAAGCGGCGGCGGACGCGAGGAAGGGCGGCGGGTGGGCCGCGCCGCCCGCGGCGGCACCTCCCTGGCCGCGCGCGCTCACCTGTGCCCGTGAGCACCTTCACCTTGTGCGTCCGGCCCAGGGCGAGCGCCACGCGCTTCAGCACCTGCTCGATGTCGTCGCAGGCCTCGGGCAGCCCGTAGCGCTGCACGTAGCTGCGGGGAGGAGCCGGGGGCTTCCACCCGCGTGCCGGCGGCGCCGGGAAGCACCCGAGGGGCCGCGCCGCGGGCCCACCTGAACTGCCGCTGCCGGTTGAGCGTGTACAGCAGGTAGTCGGCCATGACGTCCTCGCCCACCAGGTGGTCGCGGATGGCGCCTGGGGAAGAGCCACAAACCGCGCTCGGCCTCGAAGGCCGCACGTGCCCCGGGGCAGACGCACCCCGAAGCCGAGCACTCCCAAGCCCCGTGGGTGCCAGGCAAGGGCACCCCGGCCCCGCGCGCCCCTCACCGCACAGCGCCAGCTTCATGCCCGTCTCCACGTCCTCCAGCCTGGGCGGCAGCACTCCCGGCGTGTCCACCAGGTACATGAGGGGCTCCTCGCACACCTGCCGCGGGGACAGGAAAAGCAGGGGGATAAATAGAGCAGCTGGATAAATAAACATGGGCAATGCGGACAGGCAGGCCTGGCCCCATGGCCCGCGGTGACCCAGCTTGCTGGGCCCGAAGCAAAGTACCTGGATCCTGGTCAGCACCGCTCTGGTGATGCCTGGCTCGCCCCCAACCGCAGTGGCTTTTCCTGGAGGGAAAAGGGGACGAGTCGGAGGTGCTCCGAGACGCTCGGAAGCGTCCCGAAGCCGGAGGGAATACCCTTCTTGAGGTGCAGCCTTCGCAGGGAGTTGATGAGCGACGACTTGCCCGTGTTGGGCACGCCGATCACCATGATGCAGTAGTCCACGTTCTGGGAGCAAAGGGAACGCGGGCGCATGGAGCGGCCCATCGGCGGCCACCCGCCCCCAGCTCCGAGCAGYGACCGGGAGACGCCCCCGCTCCGCGTTTTTAACAGCAACGCGGCTGTCCGGCCCCTTTCAGCTCCAAACGGGAGGAGGGAGCGTGTGTTAAACCCCAGCCCTGGAGCCTGCCCGGGGGCAACTCTGCCCCGCGGCGGCGCAGGGCCACCGCAGGGCCCCGCTCCTCACCTCAGCCCTCTCGTAGCGCGGGCTGCCGCTCACCAGCTTGGCGACCAGGGGCACAATCTGCAGAGAGGCGGCTCTAGCCGGGCGGGCGCTCGGCGCCGTCCCGCGTGCCCGGCGCGCGCCGCGTTACCTTCCCGACGTCGGCGTCGCGCCGGCAGTCGGTGAAGACGACGCGCGCGCAGCCCTGCCGCCTCAGCCGCT